CGGGGAAACAGTTTAATTTTCACCATATGTTGCTACAGCGGCTTGTAGATTTTTTTTTTTTTTTAAATCTTTCCACTGAAGCTACAAAAAAAAAAAAAATCTAATATAAAAATGTATTCTTCCCAATACGTTTCCCTCCTGTGGGCCATTTTACGGCTCCCAAATAAATCTTTAAGGTTTCAAGGAGGGAAAAAAAAAAAAAAAAAAAAGAAAAAGAAAAAGTACCCTGATGACGGAAAAGCAAGTCCTGCCATGATAATGTCCTTTATTAATATTATAGATGTGTAGTGTGCTGGATGGATCAATCATATCCATTCACAATCAGGATTAAGAGAGCCTATTTTAATGAAAATCTATTAGTCTCTCGCTTGAGACACGGATGTTGCTTAAATCAATAAACAGCATAAAAGAGAATACGACGCAGGTTTCTAAATTAAAAAAAAAAAAAATCCCATCTATGAAATGTGTTAAGACGTCTGTAAAATCCTGAAACCCTCGATCGATACTTATAAATATTTAGTGTTTTTTTTTTTTTTTAAACACAAATTGAAAACCATTAACACTGCATCCATTCTTATTATTAAAACAAATTGTCCTTGGAATTATGTGCTGTGGAAATGGAGCCAGATTGAAAGGGCATCCTCTGAAATATGTTTACTCGCTTTCATGTAAACCAATAAAAATCTGCAGGAGCCTGTAGCGTGAGCAGAAAGGTTTGATGTACAATGTCCATGATTACAGTCTCTGAATTAATCACGAGAGAGAGAGAGAGAGGGAGGGAGGGAGGGAGGGAGATGGAGAGAGAGGACTCAGTTATCTACTCAACAAAATCTTGCTCTCCGGGTCACCGCTTATTAAAGCGTGGATTAAAACGATTATTTTTTTCTGTTTGCTTATTTGCCCGATTTCGACCAAAATAAGCTGAAGCGGGGTGGGGGAGGAAATCAGCTTCGCCCTACGTCATACCATGAGTCAATATACAAATGTAAATTCCTCTTATAAATATGAAATCCAATACTTCGTCTTGGAAATGCTTAAAGCTAATGCAACGCTTAAACTCATTCATAATTATTCTTCTCGTTTAACTCGGAGAAAAAGCGCAATGGTCAAGAGGTCCCTTTGACAGAGGAATTAAAAAAAAAAAAAATAACACACGTATTGATACCGCGCTCCATAAAAGCCTTTCCGCGGTACCGAGTGGGGGGCTGCTCCCGGGTACCGGGGGGCTCGGGTCTGCGGAGGGGACCCAGCCCCGTAGGGCCGGGGCGGGGGAAGGTGAGGAGAGGGGAAAGAAAGTGGGGGGGGCGTGGAATGAGCGGGACCCCCCCCTTTTGTCAAGTTAGGATGCCCAGCAGGATGGAGGGCTCCCGCCCGGTGCCCCGGGGCGGTGGGGAAGGAGGAGGAGGAGGATTTGGGGGGCGCAGCCCCCCGCAGGTGACCCGGGGGGGCCGGGTTGAATCCGGTAAGAGGCTGGGGGGTGGGGTGGGGGTGGGTCAGGGAGAGCGGGGTGGCTTGTGCGGAGGCTAAGGGGGGCTCGGGGTGCCCAGCTGGGCAGGGGGCAGCTCTGAGGGGCTCTGGCGACTGTTTAGTTTTGCGACAGCGTCCCGGGAGCTCCGTGCCTGCAAGGGAATGGGGTTTGGACGGCAGCTCCTTCCCCCCCCCCCCCCCCCCCCCCCCCTTTCTCCCTCCCTCCCTCTCTCCCTCACTCCCTCTCTCCCTCCCTCCCTCCATCCATCCCTCCCTCCTCCCCAGCCCATTTTTAGGCGCAGCAATAAGCCTAATCCCCCTCTGAACCCGCCGCCAAAGTTTGTGGTGGGGTCAAAAGTGCCCCCCCGCCTTTGCCCACACCCGCACCACCTTGCCCCAAGCTCCCCGACGGCCGCGGGCTGCGGGGAGGGGAGGGGGTGGCCCGGGGACGCTCCTCGCCTCCCCCCGCTCCCCGCCGCCCCCTTGGGCCGGGCCCGCCAGCCCCCCGCAAAGCTCCGCGCTGCGCGGAGCGCGCAGTGAAGCCGTGCGCGCCCGCGGGGCTTCCCGCGCCTCCTCGCCCTCCGCCGCCTGCCCCCGCGGGAGTCCGCGGCGTGGGGCGGCGGCCGGATCCCCGGAGAGGTTTGCGACTTGCACCGCTTTTTTTTTTTTTTTTTCCTTTTTTTTTTTTTTTTTTTTGTATTATTTCCCCCCTTTTTTTTTTTTTCCCTTTCCCTTTCCGGTGCTTTGTTTCGCTTTTCGCTTTCGGAGCGAGTCTGAGGCAAGTTCCCCCCGTCTGCAGGGCTCCCCCCCGGCCGCCTCCCCGCTGCCGTCGAGGGCGGCGAGTGGCGTCGGGCAGCGGATTGCCGCGCAATTTGCGCGCCCGGTGGCTGCCCCGCGCCGAGCTGCGCCCCCGCGGGAGCCGGGAGGAGGGGGGGCAACCGGCTTTCCCACCGGGCGCCCCCACGCTGCCGCGAAGCGGGGAGGGAGGGATGGTAGCGTGGGGAAGGGGGGGGGGGTCAACAGGGCTTTTTCCCCCTCGGTTTCGGGGGGGCTTGGATTTGCCCCTGTCCTGGGGGGCAGGAGCCCCGGCGGGGACCGGGGTGGGGGAGTCTCCGGGAGAAGCGCGACCCCGCGCCCGCGTGGGCTGCAGGCGTGGAGCCGGGCGCGGGGGGGAGCCCCGGGGGAGGAGAGCGGGACGGGGGCGAGAAGGAGGGAAAGGAGTCGGGGCGGGGGGGGCGGGGGGGGGGGGGGGATACCGAGGATGGGGTTCAAACTCCGGCAGCTCGGGGAAGCCGAAAAGCACCTCGCCGCGCCGGGGAAGCGGAGTCAGTAAATATTTATCCTTATTTGCTGTTTGCTGCGAGGGAGGCTGGGCACGGGTGGGGGCTTGGGGGGTGGGGGGTGAGGGGGGGGGTGGAGGGGGGGCGATGCCGGGCGAGCCGAGGGCTGAGGAAAGTTGCCCCGGCGCCGGCTTCGGCCCCGGCGCAGCCCCGCGGAGCTTCTCCCCCGCGGGAGCGCGGGCGGCCGTGTCCCCGCGTGTGCGTGTGCCCCTGCCACCCTCGCACCGCGCCGCCGGCGTGTGCCACAACCCACCACGAACCCTTCCACACGCGGACCGCGTGAGAGAGGAGCAAGCGGCGTGTCGCGCCGGGATCTTTTCTTAGCCATACGTTACTTCCACGTCTATCGGTTGCCTTTATTATTTATGTGGTGCCGTGTGATATACATTAGAGCCTGGGATTTGATTGGCGTTTGCGATGACAAGACCTGTTTGTTAAGTTGTAAGGCTTCCTCGGCTCCCTCGCTTGTTAAATGAACTCTGGAGGAAGGATGCCACCGAGACACAACAATATAATAAATGTCAGGGATATCCGCAGTGCCGAGATCAAATGATCAATCCCTGTCCCCTAGATAATCATTTTAAATTCGCACAGGGGGAGATTGATTTTTTTTTTTAAAGCCCTTTATTAATTGCTTCCTCGATTATTATTTTTTCCCCTCCTCCTGTGGAGGTGTTAACTCTGGTGCTGGGGGCACCTTTGGATTAATTAAACGTATTTTTAGTGTTTTAACGCTCTGCTAATTTTCAGAGCGGTCCCACGCTCCCCCGGAAAAGAAACAATGGCCCTTCGCTTCAGCAAGGAGCCTCCTTTGGTTGCGATTCAGAGCAGAGGGTGGCGTGATGATGGGCTCTGATTATCTCAAACTCGAGGCGAGGGAAGGAGAAGGACGGGAAAAGCCAAACGACCAGAAGACAAAATTCCTCCAAATACCAAATAACCCTTCGCGTAAAAGCCCGAGGAGAGGAGGTAGAAAGAAAGAGCTGGGAAGTCGGCTCCACTGAGGATCAAACGGCGCGGAGAGGCGCTGGGAATGCCGGCGCTGTTATCTGGAGGTGGATTTCAGGCAGCTATTCAAGCTCACAGAATAATAATTATTCCGGGAGTACAATAAAAATAACAGCAGCCTAGCAAGGACAAGGCGGGGAAATTATTGCCAGTCCTATCTTAAATCCGGCAGGATATGTTTCGTTGAGAAAAAGAAAAAAAAAAAAAAAAAAGAAAAGAAAGAAAGAAAGAAAGAAAAAAAAGAATGACGATTCGATGCTCTATTTGTCGTGTACAAACTCCCGTGTTAACAAATTACCCCTCCGCTGCACGCAGCAGGGTAGCCCTACATCCAAAGAAACATTTTAGATTTTAATTTTCCTCAGCAGTATCTTCAGACGACATAATAACAGTAAACAAGAAAACAGATCCTGCAATGTTTACACGCATCTGGAGAGCCCCCCCACCTAGGGATAACAGCCCACCGCACCCCCGCAAGACAGGCAACCCCCTCCAAACCCTCCGAGCACACCGACACGGGTCTCCGAGACACCTCGCCACTTGTTTAACTGCAACACGCGTCCCCCTCCGCGCACCCACCCGCCAGAACAGGCAACGCTTTTAAACCAGCATTTTTGGTTCGCCGGTTATTTTGACCGTTTAATTACAGCGAAATTAGCTAAATAGCAAATCAGGTAGAATTTCCAGTGATTGCAACAAATGCACATCTCCAGCTTTTTATTCATTACCTTTTTTATTGAACACTCATTTTCTTTTCCTCTTGACAGCGATACATTTAATTGCAGGAGCACAGCTATTTGATTAGCTAGGTCCGGTTTTACTCACAGTGTTGCCACGCACAGGATGTCCTTACAATCAATTAAGTCTTCCTCGACTTTCATTTCTGCAACCCATTTACAGAATGCAGATACCTATTTTCGTGTTTTCCTCTTTCCCCCCCTCCCTTTTATTCCTCTCTCTCCCCCTCTTTTTCGCTTGAGCCTCTTTGCCTCCCTAAATCAAGGTGCAAAGATGCCAAAGAGTGATGAAATGAAAAGAAAGCCAATTGCTGGACTGAGGTGGGGGAGATAGCTGCTAGGAGTCCGCCTGCGACTATGGAGCAGTCAGTAATTGCTGGAGACAGGGAGAGCTGGGGGTTGGGCTGAGGTAGCCATGTATAAATAGTGTGATCTCAAATTGAAAGGCATAAATAACAGCAGGAGTGATCTAACCCTATACAGCCCATCTTCTACGTGCAAAAACAGCGTGCGGAGGACGGCCACATCTCCGACCGAAAACAAGTGGATCTCTGTGGATAAGATCACCGGGCAGCCATGGAAGAACTTACGGCTTTTGTATCCAAATCTTTTGACCAGAAAAGCAAAGAGAGCAGCAGCGGCAGTGGCAGCAGCAACAAGAAGGAGACGATCACGTACAGGGAAGTTTTGGAGAGTGGGTTGGCTCGCTCTAGGGAGCTTGGAAACTCTGACTCTAACCTGCAGGACATGACCGAGAGCAGCAACCATTGCCCGGTACATCTTTTCAAAGACCACGTAGAGAGCGACAAGGACAAACTGAAGGAGTTCAGCACGGGCAGGACGGCGGAAGGTAAGAGCGGGGCCGGGCGCCCTCCGCCCCGCGCCCCTCGCCGCCAGCCCCGGCCCCCCCCCCCCCCCCCCCCGCCTCGGCGCTCCGCAGCGGGGGAGAACCGGCCCCGGGGGCCTCGGCCACAGCCTCCCCGGCCTCGGGGACCCCGGCCCCGGGGACCCCGGTTCCAGCCGCCCCGGGGGCCCCGGAGCCCCGGCGGGGCGAGCGGGCTCGCCTCCCGCACCCTGCCTCCCTCCTCCGGCCGCCTCCTTCCCTCCTTCCTTCCCTCCTTCCTTCCCTCCTTCCTTCCCTCCTTCCTTCCCTCCTTCCTTCCCTCCTTCCTTCCCTCCTTCCTTCCCTCCTTCCTTCCCTCCTTCCTTCCCTCCTTCCTTCCCTCCTTCCTTCCCTCCTTCCTTCCCTCCTTCCTTCCCTCCTTCCTTCCCTCCTTCCTTCCCTCCTTCCTTCCCCCCTTCCTTCCCTCCTTCCCTCCTTCCTTCCTTCCCTCCCGCAGCGGCGGGAACATAACGCCTAGAAGCGCATATGCCCGCACGCGTAACGTGCGCTTAGGCGTGAAAAATAACTCGCAACTTCGGGTGTCGTGGCCTCTCACACCTCCTCCCCCCCCCCCCCCCCCTTCCCACGCCGACCCGCCAGCCCCCGTTCAACATCCGAAATCGAGCCGGTGCGTTAGGCGTCCGCTCGCCCGGGGGAAGGGGCCAGCGCAGGACGTCAGACATTTTTGTCTATCTGTATTTTTTTTTTTTTTTTTTTGTACGAGGAAACCTTGTCCGGGGAGTTTTAATGCCTTAGGAGACCTGTTCTTCCTGCTTCCGGGCCGTCAGGATGCTGCTGCTTCTTCTGGGAGAAAGCTGGATGTGGAGAGGGCTCTCCCTGGACATTTTGTCTTATGTCGGGCAGCCTGTCCTAGCCAGAGGCTGCGGCCGGCGAGGAGGAGGATGAGGGTGAGGAGGAGGAGAGGACCCTGGCTGTGAAGCCCGGGCCCGGGTGAGACGGAGCATCCCTGCGCAGAGAGGCACCGGCCGGCCCTGCCGCCTGCCCCCCGGTCCCCTGCCTGTCCTTGTCACCCGGGCCCGGGCAGCACCGCCTCCCCCTGGGCTGCGGGGACCGCCGGCCGAGGGGTAAAACGCCGTTCCTTCTCGCAGCGGAAAGAAATTCAAATTAAAAATAATTTTCAACCGAGCAAGCTAAAAACCCCGCACAGGCTCGCAGGGGAAGGAGAAAAATAAAAAGGGCGGGGGGATTAGAAAGTTGAGAAAGTGTCTCTAGGCAAGTTAAACAGGTGGACCTGCCTGGGGAGCTACTGGCTAGCTTGGGGTAATAAAAAACGGTTAATAGGTTGGGGAACAACAACCAGTCTTTCAGCTGTTTCCTACCGTTTGATCTTGTTTAATATAACATTGGGCGAAAGGCAATTTAATTTACAGCCCAAACGCTAAGTTAATATCCTCCTCTCTTCCACTCCCTCCCCGAACAGAACGACCGGGTATAATCACATATTCGGGTACCCGTATTTCTGCACAAGCCGGTACCGCTCAGCACTGCTGATTTTCCTTCTCTGGTAGAGAGATCGCAAAACGAGAGGGTTCAGTTTAGAGGAATTATTCGCGCAGGGGATGGTTTTAAAAACGAAAGCAGGGCATGCTCCAGGAAAAGAAAAAAAAACCTAAAAATATATTATCATGCGAACGAACAACAACAACAAAAAATTAATCTCTGCTAGTCTCTCTTTTCCCTGTGTATCGAAATTATGGCTTGTATGTTTAGTTAATCTAATCTATGGAGAGGGGCTGGGGGTGGGGATGGAAGGGAGGAGTTGGAAAGAGCTGAGATGCTTGTGACAGTTTAAATTCATGCCAGGTTTCAGTCTAATTTCAACTGATTCCGGCGTGTGATTTCAGTCCCACCGATACGCTGGTTAATATTTTATACCTATCACGGACATGCTGTAGCCTCGGATCTCCGAAAGGAGACAGAGCTTTTGAACGCGTCTCATTTTCCCCAGGCATTTGCTGGGTTAGCACCCTCGTCTTTCCGCAGGGGTTCCCCTTGTAAAGAGGAATGCGAACAAAACGCCATTAAAACCAACCAGCGAACACCCTCCCTTCCCGAGGCCAGACCCTTCCCAAAGTTTTATGCGGCCGGTATCCAGCCCAGAGCCGGGGGAGCCCGGAGGAGCGATGACGGCCAGGGACAGTTTTCATTTCGGAAGGGAAAACGAGCGCTTCGGCTTGGGTCCGCGCCTTGTCGGGGCACAGATGCAGTTCAGGACGTTATATTACGTTCAATTAACTTACGATCTGCAGTTAGTCGTTTGCCTTTTGGGATGCCCCTGAGTATATAGGTTTAAAAATAGGCGCATGCTCACGTTTGTGTGTGTGTACACACGCACACATACATATATATCTCTCTATAACATACGTGTGTGTTTGGTGAGGGAAAACGGATTTAATTCGGGATCATCTGCAGATGTGGCTTTCCCTCCACCACCACCACCACCCCCCCCCAGCCCCACACCGCCCAGAAGGTGAAGCAGGACAAAGGAGGCAGCCGGAGCAGGCTCGTCCCGGGACTCCGCCGGTGCCCGCGCTGGATGCGCACCCCGGCGGGGGGGCCCGAGCGGGCGGGGGGGCCCGCAGGACCGGTTGAGCCTCCAAAGGTGCCCCCTGCTCCAGCACCTCTCCTCTTTTCGTTAGCCGGATTGAAAAGGAGGGCCGGTGCGCTAGGCCGCCTGGCATTAAGGAAAATGGGGGAAAAGAAGAGGGAAAAAAAGAAAAAAAAAAAAAAAAAAAAAAAAAAAAGGAGGAAAGAAAGATAATTTGCCAAAGCAAAAGAAATTTCTCCCCCCAATACCCCCGGCCAAAACAAAACCGGGCAACTGTTTTCCTTCCCCAGCCCTCCTCCCCTCCGCCCGGGATAAGCGCGCACAGCGGCCGCAGGCTCGCCCCGAGCTCTCCTGGGCTCCGTGGGGGCCGTGGGGGTGTCTGCTGTTTTGGAGGGACTGGGGGGGTACCCACGGTCCTTGAGTCCGTTCCCCCACGCCGGGCCGTGCAGGCCCACCGCCCCGCCGGCAGGTATTTTGGGGGAAGGAGCGGTGCTAAGGGGGAGAGGGACGTTCGGTCTCGGTCTCAGACCCCTGGAAAGTTTCTTTGACGAGGCAAATATTTTTCACCGTGGTTTCACCATGACAGCGGTGGGGAGCTTCTTGCATAACCTTCTTTACTTCGGGAGAAAAAGGCGACGGAGAAACCCCCTTCCCCCCCGCCTCTTCCCACCGCCTGGAGGTACCGGGGGGGCCGGCGGTTTTCCCTCCCAGCCCCTTCCCCGAACCGCCCGCTCCAACCGGCGGCACGGCTTCCTCCTCACCCTGGAAAGAAACGAAAATAAGAGTTATAGTTTTTCTGATGGGACATCAGCCGGCGAAAGGCAGCGCGGCTCCCTCCATCCTTCCCTCGGCCCGGAGCTGGCACCGGGACTCAGCCTGACCCGGTGCCCCCCTCGCCTGGCCCGGAGCCCCCCCTCCCGCCCGCCGGTTGCCCCCACAGGTTGTACTGAGTTTGGGGAGGAAAAGAAGGGGGGGGGGGGGGGGGGGAGACCCCCGTGCGCCGCGGAGAGAAACTTCGGCGAGGTGCGAGGAGAGGCTCAGTGTCGTTTTTTCTCTTCCTCTCCCCCCCCCCGGCAGGGATCTACGAATGCAAAGAGAAGAGGGAAGATGTGAAATCAGAAGATGAAGATGGACAGACCAAGCTCAAACAAAGGAGAAGCAGAACCAATTTCACACTAGAGCAGCTGAATGAGCTGGAAAGACTTTTTGATGAGACTCACTATCCGGATGCCTTCATGAGGGAGGAACTAAGCCAGAGGCTGGGACTGTCTGAAGCTAGGGTTCAGGTAAGAGAAAGGCTCTGTTCCTGGAAACGTCCTCACCTCACTTCCTAACTGCCAGCGGATCCTAGCACAGTGCCCCGTTTCATCCAAAGCGGGGAGGTGAAGGCAGAGACGACACGTGTGATGGGGAAGCTGTTTGCAACTCCGCTGTACCTGTCCTGCCACACAGTAATTCTGCTCTGGGAATATCTGCCCGTGCCTTGCATTTCCTAGGAAGGCGGTTTAACATTATTAATTTTCTTTTTTTTTTTTATTTTTTTTTTTTTGGAGGGGAGGGGGTGGTGATATTGTTGACAAGCCTCTAATAACCGAGCAACTCGCTATTTTTTTAAAAAATCATTGTATTTTTCTTTGCAAACGTGCCATTAGATATCCCTTAATCCTCGCTTTCTTCCCCCTCCTTCTTTTATGAGACCATTACGGGGGGGGGAAAAAAAAAAAAAAAAAAAAATGGCAAGCCCAGAAAACAATCGCCGTGAATCAGGCGAGACGGTTTGGGTGCTGAGGGATGGGATTAGGCAGAGCCGGGGGAAAGGTGCCCGAGCAGCAAGCGCATGAATGCATGGCACCCATCTGGTGGAGTCTCCCCCCGGCCCGCCCATCCCCGCTTCAGACACAGCTAAATACCAATTAGCCTTCGAAACCCTGGAAAGAGGTCCGCGTTGCTGTACTTCTTAGTGTCATCAGACCCAAACAGTTTGGGTGGCTCTACATCGGTTGTTTTAAAATTTGCTTTTCGGTTTGATGCAGGGGAAAAATACCACCCTCCTCACCCCGTCTTAAACCAACTAGTGAATGCCTCCCCAAAAACAGATGCCATTTAAAAACCAAAAACACAGCACAAAACCCAAACAAACCTAGAAATAATTAATAAGACCAACCTGTGGCTCTCTGATCAGGCCTAGGGCAGGAGAAACCTGAAGGAAATCTTTTCTTGGGTTATAGCTCTGTGCTTGGCCTACCAGACCCAAACCAAACCAAAACCCAAGAAGAAAAAGTCATCAATCCCACCCCTCCGCTGAACAAACCGCCTTCACACCCTGGAGATAAGCGATGCTCATGCATATGGACATCGGCTTGTGAGCGTGGGTGCACACGGGTGGGGGTGTGTGGGCATAGGTGCGCGTCCCCGGGCCTGTCCTCGCCCCCAGGGCACAGTGGGAAGACAAGAGACACGTTCCCGAGCTGGCGTGGGGAGAGGGCTCGGCTTGCGTGTGTGTGAATGTGTGTGTCCCCCCAAATTTAAACTTGACCCACGGCGGGAAGTCACCCGGTGGGATCCCGCTCAGCTGGGCTGTGCCTGGGTAAACGACTACCTCGCTTTAAACAACTGCCTCCGGAGGCATTTCCCGAAATAAATAGAGTAGCCAGGTTGTTTTCTTTCTTGTTTTGTGAGTTTCTTTTTTTTTTTTTTTTTTTTTTTTTTTCCTTGTCTTTTCTTTTTTTTTGAAGGCTCTTTTCTCCCCTCGGCTCCTGCCTCTCTCGGTATGAACCGAGCTGGGCGAGCGATGGGCTGGGCGCACGCCTTAGGAAGGGCGGCTTGCTGGGGATATTGCAGGGGCTCAGAGTGCTGCTGGCCTACTTTCTCCTGGAAGATTGATCTAACCACACCATATAAATTAATGAAAAGATTAAACTTTTGCTGAAGGGGACATCAACTCTTATGTCATCTTCCCAGATCTTCTTACTTGGGCTCTGTAATATCTTTCCAAGGCCTTGATGTACTGTTTCTATAAAAATAAATTACTTGTAATTGAATTCTGCACTCTTTCTTTCAAGTACTTTATTACTGAGCAGCACCTTAACAGGATGTTCATAGTTACAGGAAAATTGGTGCTTCAAGTGCTTACAGATCTTAAAACAGCACACCAAAAAAAACCGAACCCAGCCCCCCCCCCCCCCCCCCCCAAAAAAAAAAACCAACAAAAAAAAAAACCCCCAAAAAAAAACCAAAAAAACCCCAACCCCAAACTGATCCAGGAGGAGATTATGAGAGAGATTTAAAAAATTAATACCTTTAATCATCTTACAAAAGAAGTTTGCATGGATGAAAATAAAACTATAAATAAAAGAAATACCAAGAGGGAAAAGAGGAGAAATGGATAATTAATTAGGAAATAAGCAGAGCGCTTGATATCCATCAATAAATGGAAGCAGAAAAAAAGGAGAAGGGGGGGAAAGGGAAAGTTTTTTTTTTTTAAATACTTTCAGAGTTGTTCTCTAATTCCTATCTGAACTGCTTGTCCCTTGCTGTTAAAGGATATAGTTTCAATTTAGTGTGGAAATTTGCTGTAAATAAATTGAAGCTCCTATGGTAGCTAGTCCTTATTAACCTTTTATTTTTAGTGTTGTACTGGAAACCCATATCACCCAGCTGTCAGGGTTATAATTGAAAGTTATGAGACCATAGTGAGGAGCAGGCAGTAATTCAATTACAACAAATATCTTTGGGTTTATGGTGCAGGGCTAAATTAAATGTCATTATTCACTGTCTCTAATGGAAATCAAAAGGAAATCAGATTAGAGCATTTGTGAAAGAAATCACTGAGTGATCCTTAATGAAGAAATAACTGTCTAAAACAGTGTACTGTGCTTTACTTAGCATATTCATGACTAATTGGAATTGATCGTGAATCACACCAAGCCTGATTTATTATCGCTTAACGCAGTGGCTAATTCATCACTTTTATTCCTCATAACCTTATTTTTTCATAGCTAAAGGGAAAGGGCACTTCGTTTTCCAGATTTAAATATAATTTCTGTTTGAAAGATGTTCTGATTTGCAAGAGAAGTTGTTTAAACGCTGCTTAAATTCCTCCTGACAATTTATACTCCTTTGGGGGGGTGGTGTGTGTGTGTGAGGGGGGGCGTGGGGAACACACACAAGGAGATTTCCTGCAAGGATTTACAACCATAAAAAGATGTGTTATTGTCGGTACAGCACGATGATATTTTGCATGCTCATAATTTAAAATATATATATATATATATATAAATCCCTGGCGGCCCTGTTAAAAGGAGAAGCGTTGCATGCTGTTAATATTTGTGTATTGCTCGTAGGGAAAAACCGGCTTGTGCCGTGCTGCGCGTTTCGGGGCAGCGCGGGGAGCAGGCGCCGTCCATCGGTCTGTCCGTCGGTCGGTCCGTCGGTCTCCGCAGCCGCCCGCCCGCTGCGCTCTCATCTCCCCTCTCAACCCCCCCCCGCCCCGGCCAACCCTAGGCAGGGAAACCGGTGCTCCAAATCAGAAAAAGCCAATTCTTACTTAAGAAAATCACTGAGGTACCCGAGGTAATTAATGCCTTTGGAAGCCTTTCTTTGCACTAATTACTCCGTTGTAAATGACCATCATTAAGGCAATTGAAGAAAGCTTGAAGGGAAAATTTGATGTAGGAAGTGCAGTTAGTATTAATTAACCGTATGATCTCTTGGCAAGTGCAAGAACATCAAAGGTTGTAGGTGTTTACATTGTTACAAGATTTTATCAGCGCTGAAAGTCAATGTTTGTCCAGATCTCGGTAGGTTTCGGTGTAAGGGTCCGCAAAACACCTTGGTCCGTGCCTCTGACGGTCCTTGGGGGAGAGCTGCTAACCCGAGCACCTCGGAAGGGGGGAAAAGTAACGAGGGTCTGAAATGCCCCTGGAAAAGTGGCAGGGGAGGCGCAGCGGCAAGTTTGCGCTGGTTTTTGAGTCAGAACGGTTGGAATTGGGGCAGGGTTATTGGATTACAGGCACTTCTCGGGTAGGGGCTTCAACCCTTCTTTACACCCCAGCCCGCAAAGATGTTGCTCTTGTCTGTCCAGAAGTCTGCAGAAGCGAGTTTTGTTTTCTCCTAACGTTTGGGGAAGTGGGAATGATTCCCCCCCCGCCCCCCTTTGTGCAAATTCAGTATCTCGCATCTTCTCTGAGGTCTTCACCGCTTCCGAGCCCGGCTCGGGAGGGAGCAGACAGCCCTGTCGCTGAGGGGCCAAACCCCCGTGTCTGACCTGGCCCACGCTGGCCGTCCCCGGCGTGGCGAGGTGGGACTGGAAAGAGGGAGCGAGGGTCCCACCCGGCCCGCGCGTGGGGTTATTATTTGAAGCGTTGGGGAAAGCGGCCCCTCGTTCCGGACGGGTGGCACAAGGATCGCCACTGCCCGCCCGGGAGACACGGGGCCCTCGGAGAGTGGGTGCCAAGCGGCTCCCAGTCCCCTCACACCCCCTTTTTCCCCGGCTTCTGATCGCCGAGGTTCAGCTCCCGCTGAGAAACCGCACCAAAGAGCAGAGCCCCTCCCAAATAGCACCCCCCCCCCCCCATCTATCACAGCACATAGAGGGGCTCCCTCCGCCTGGGGCTGAGCTCTCCCCCTCGGAGAGACCTCAGCAAAGTTGTGAGAAGTCCCTCGCCTCTCCCCTCCATCCCAAACCCCCTAGATAACACTCTCGTAGCAGCTGCCTAGTCTACCTCCATTTTTTTTTGTTGTGTTTTCTTTTTTTTTTTTTTTTTCTTTTTTTTTTTTTTTTTTTTTTTGTTTGTTTGCGTTTTCTTTCCACAGGTCTGGTTCCAGAACAGGAGAGCAAAGTGCCGAAAGCAGGAAAACCAGATGCACAAAGGTGGGCGAGGGGGTGCGGGCCGGTCGAGGGGTGGCAGCCGGGGAGCCCCGGGGCTCCTTCGCCGCTCACCCGGCCCCGTCTCTTCCCGCAGGTGTGATCCTGGGAACCGCCAGCCATTTAGACGCCTGCAGAGTGGCCCCTTATGTGAATATGGGAGCCCTGAGGATGCCTTTCCAACAGGTAGTTAGCTCTGGTTTTATTTTCCTTCCCCCCCCCCCCCCCCCCCCCCCCCCGGCAAGCTCCGACCCCCTTTCGTTCGCACGGGAGGAAGCCGGACACGTTTACAAGTGCCATTTATATAGAAGTTGGCACGTATTAAAAACAGGCTGTAAAATTTCGTGAAGGAGCCCCCGCCCGGCTGCCGGGAGCTCAACGCCCCTTGGGCCCGGGGAAGGGTCCGAACGGGGGGGGGGGGGGGTCCCGCGGCCCCGGGAGGCGCCGCCGGTGCTAAGGGTGTCCCGGCCCGTGTGTGTGTGTGTGTGTGTGTGTCCCCACTCGCGGCCGTGCGACGGGCTGGCACACGGCCCCGGGACCGCCCGCAAACGTGGCAAAGGCGGGCTGGCCTCCCGGGTGTGTGGGGGTGGGTGGGTGCATCGCCTTCCCCGGGGGGGAAGCGCGGTGTCCCCCGCGGCGGGCGAAAAAAGAAAACAAAACAAATACCCCCCCCCCCCCCCAAATAACTATGCGGACCCTCGAGCTGTCGTTCTCCCCCCTCCTCCTCAGGCGGGCTGTCGAGGCCTGGCCTTTTCCGATGGAGGCAGCCCACCCGGGACGTGGGGAGGCTTCTCCCCGCCGCCCTGGCCAGCCGGCACCGGGTCCCTCCTCAGCGAGGCGCAGCCCCCCCGGGGGAAACCCGGCACGAAGGGGATGAAATTCCGTCCCGCTTCCAGCCACCCCCAAGCCGCTGCCTGTAACTCTCCCCCACCCCCCCCCGCCCCCGCCTTTTTTTTTTTTTTTTTTTTTTTTTTAGGTCAATTAATCGGGGAATCGATTTTTCCCAGCCCAAAGGGACCCTCCACCACCTTCTCCGTCTCGGAGACACGTGGAGCTGACAGATTAATTGTATTGATTTTTAAAAGACATATTTGGACCAAAATAATTAAATACATAAATAAACTCTAACCCCCACTCCTCCCCGAACCCACCCGGAGCTGAAATCTCTCAGTCAACCCCAACGTGTTTGTGTAGGTCGAGAAACCTCCAAAGCAAACACCGGCCCGGTATATAAGGGACGCGGGGCCAAAGAGTTTTTAGCGAGGGATGAATAAACATCCCTGAAAAAAAAAAAAAAAAAAAAAAAAAAGGGTGTGTGGGGGAATTAGCTATTTAGCACTTATTGGCGCCCGTGCGTTGGGCCGCATATTTATTTTATTTATTTATTAAAAAAAAAAAAAATAATAATAATGCGAGGAGGGGGAAGGATGCGCCTCCGGCGAGGTGCGAAGCGGGGATTCGCTGCGCCGCGCGCCTGCCCCGCCCCTGCGCGCGGGAGGGGGGGGGGCTCCGCTGACAAGTTGCGCTTTCGGCCGGCGAGGCGGGTGACCGTGGGGTGGGTGGGTGAGTGAGTGAGTGGGTGGGTGGGTGAAGTGAAGTGCGTGGGTGAGTGTCCGCCGTGGGTCCTGACGCCCCTGTCTCCGCCCGTGCCGCCGCGCAGGTCCAGGCGCAGCTGCAGCTGGAGGGCGTGGCCCACGCGCACCCGCACCTGCACCCGCACCTGGCGGCCCACGCGCCCTACCTGATGTTCCCGCCGCCGCCCTTCGGGCTGCCCATCGCCTCCCTGGCCGAATCCGCCTCCGCCGCCGCCGTCGTGGCCGCCGCCGCCAAGAGCAACAGCAAGAACTCCAGCATCGCCGACCTGCGGCTCAAGGCCCGGAAGCACGCCGAGGCCCTGGGGCTCTGACACGCTTCAGACCAGACCCCCCCCCCCTCCCCAAATCCTTCCCCACCCCCCCCCCCCAAACACACCCACACCCCCCCCTCCCCACACACACACCCCCCCCCGGGTGCCCGCGGCGGGCGGCTGCGTGACCCCCACGGACCGCCGCTCTGCCACACACCCCCCCCCCCCCCCCCATATATATATTTTTTTTTTTTCCTTAATTATTATTATTTGTCATTTCTTTCCCCTTTCCCAAAATCTCCGTGGCGGCCCCCCCCTCCCGCCGCTTTCCTCGCCCTCTCGTTTTTCAACCCCCCCCCCCCCCCCCCCCACCAAGGGACTTGGCGGCCGTTGGCGCCGGGGGGGGGGGGTGGGGGTGTCTGCGCCCGGGTCCCGCCTCGGGCACACGCACACGCAGGGGCGCACCCACGCACCCACGAGTCAGAGACTCCGCGGAGGATAAAGTAGGTGGGAGGAGAGAGAAAAGAGAGTTTAAAAAAAAAAAAAAAAAAACCACCAAAAAACCATCCCCCCCTCCGGAAAAAACCCTGAAAAAAAAACACAAAAAGAAGGGAGAAAAAAAAAAAAAAAAAAAAAGGAAACGATCTCTAAATTATGTTAATCTGTGAACATTGGGGACACTTTGGATTTTTTGACCCTGGCAAAAGTGATCGCTCCAGCATAACGTCATCTGCTGCTGTCAGTTTTGCTACCTTGTGCATGTGTCTAACTAAACACGTTTTGAAGATCAGAAATATATTAGAACGAAACTAAACAAAACAAATAGTAATAATAATAAATAATAAATCCTTGGGGCTGGTCTCCATTAAAGATGACATTTCTTTGTTGCCAACAGTATTATTTCACTGCCATGAATCTCTTCCATCACTGAGGAGCTGCTGCTGCAGAACTGGTTTGAATTTAAATGTGGAATTTCAGATCTGAGGCAAGGCAGTTTTTTATTTTTTCTTTTCTTTCCAAAAAAAAAAAAAAAGGGAAAAAAGCAGCAATAACAAAAAATGTGCGTCTCAAATGGCTATGTCCTTTGAAAGGAGAAAAACAGAGAGACTAGAATTTGCTAATTATTAGTGATAACTTGAAAGATGGGAACAATAAGAAACGCACCTGTTTTGCCAGAATCACCTGAACTCAATGAGATGCATTGTGCCATAGAAACAGGTCAATTTTTCTATTTTTTTTCTTTTTCTTTTTCTTTTTTTTTTTTTTTTTTTTTTTTTCCTCCAAATGTCTGGATCTTTGAATCAAAATCTTGCTGTTTTACGGGATGTAGAAAGAATGACTTATACAACAAAGATGGACATATGGTTTTAAGGCATAATACTGATGCAGCATTAATTTTAGTGAAATGCAATTAAGTGCAGTAAAGTGCAATACTGTAAATATTATAGATTAAAAAAATAGCCGTACTTATTCTGTTAATAACCAATTCTGCAAGAACCATATCTTACGTCCTTCATGCTCAGACTGGTGCATTGCAGCTTCTTGCCAAAATGACAGTCCGAGCATTCTATGAATGGGTAAAGTTATATGCATCACATATGGGAAAAGGTAGATGCCATGGTTTCTAGTCGAGTTAATGTGCCATATTTCTGGGAAGTAAGCTGAAAAGTCTGTATGATGCTTTTGCAATCATTTTAAGTAAAGAAAAAAAAAAAAAAACAAAAAAACCCCCAAACCCACAGAAGTGTTTTGTAAAGGTAGACAAGTTCAATATTTGGCCATTTTAATTTTTGCCTGTGATTTAGACACCAAGTCTTAAGCTAATGCTTAAGCAAAGTAACTAGTATAAATCTAGAAAAGATGGGGACTAGGGAAATCCTTTAAATTATGTTACCAAAGTGTCTGGGTTTACTGCCTGCCCACCCTGTTTTTATTTTTTATGCTATTCACTTCTATTTGGTTTATGATATCTTTTTTTTTTTTTTTTTTTTTTTTTTTAAATTTTGGTGGGGAGAAGAGAGGAAGGTACAAATATTGGTCTTGTCTACGTCTAACAAGATAGCTATTTGTTGCCTTTGTTACCAAGGCCTGTGTTGATGGAAGGTTATCCTCTCAATAATACCATTATTAAGCCTGCTTTTTATGTCTCGTTTAGCAATCCATTACTAGTTTTGGCTTTTGCTGATATTTATCAAATCGAAATATTACTGTAGGACAAAAATTCATGCTGTAGATAAAGTTTAGACTCTTCCTTTTTTTTGTTTCTCCTTCAAGTTTTGATATTTTCTTGCAAGCAAAATTTCTGAAAGGTCAAAGTTGTGCCATTTCCCTTCTATTTATTATGTGAGAAGTAGTTATATTTTGGATTCGCTCGAGCTGATAAATGTTACCTGCCTTTTCTACCTCTTTGTGAAAGCCCAGTACCTTTTTAAAGCCAGGCCAAAATGTTAAGGTAGTGTTACTTGTTGCTGAGAAATACGGACAAAAATCTCAGGCAATTAACAATTTCTTATTGAAACAAAACATCACCTAGAAAGTAAAACGTTATTCATGACGATGTATGAATTTCTGGCTAAAATAAGAAATATTTGGAGTGTTTCCAGCACTTCTAACATGCAGATCTGAAAAATAATAAACATTACTACAGAGATGCTTTAGGCTATAACAAGTAACCTGTTGTACTGGATACCTACAGCCATCGGATGAGAATTTGATACACGGTGTTGAAGACTAAAGGCACGGAGCTTTCGATTGAGTGGGGGCTGCTTGTTACCTGTACCTGTGATCTAATTATTACCCTTTCAAATCCTCTTTTGACAGTTTAAGAGAGGCTTATGTTTTTTTTTGTTTGTTTGTTTGTTTTTTTGTTTTTTGTTTTTTTGTTTTTTTTTTTTTTTTCCCAGTCCTGTGCTGGACTTTCGCAAAGGAGTGATTTTCACCCTCAGACAATTCCATGGAAGGAACTCAGTAGAAGCTGTACGTTTGGGGATCTGAATTTTCTCAGACGTCTTCTAAGTGAGGCTGTGAAGTGCTGCTGATCTTACAGTGTTCCAGGATGCACGTACAGTACGCATCCACCTCACATTGGAAGGAATAAGTCTTCCACCTTTGCTGTTTTACTAGGTACCAACACAGCAAAAACGCTTGTAGATTTCTCTCAGAAATTTTGCTACACACAGCCTCTTTCTTGTATTTAAAAAGTAGTGGTAACATGAATATCGTTCCCTGCTAACATGAAACAAGGCTGGTAGTGTAGCATACATCTTTCCAGAATGAAAAATTCTTACAGTTTCTTCTGATTGCTTTCAGTGGATGTCTCAAGGACAGTCTTGCCCTCTACCGCAGGAGGGAAGAAGGTGGCAAGATTTATCAGCTTAGCCTGGTTTGAAGGAGGTGCCATAGATCAGACTGGGGAGAGGGGAAGGGCGTCACTGTGAATCCACCACGGCTCTTCATGCTGCTCTTGCATTTCATTCAGCATGAAAGGAAAAGAAAAGCTGCACCGTGCAAGGGCTGCAGCCGAAACCGGTTCCCCTTTGCTTATTTTTCGAATTAGCCAGTCGCATCGGTGGTGGTATAAAAGTTTTGCCTTGTTTTGGATGATGCATGCAGGTGGCCTTCTCTTCTTGTCATCCTTACATCGCTGGGAAGAAATGAGGAGTCCCACCTGGGCTACCACGTACTGGACTGTACTTCTCACTAAGAGTAAGTCGCTGTGGCTCTGTTCACTCTGTGGAGCTCCAGTGATCCGTACAAGTTGAGGATCTGGACCAAAGCGTCTACTTCATCTCTGTTGATGTGTGGTCTTTTTTTTTTTTTTGTTTTGTTTTTTTTTTGCATTTCTTCAGTGATTTTTCTTGGGGAGGTTGAAGATAAGATAGTCAAGGTCCCGCAGTGCTTATTAAAGTTTAAAAGTAAATGTAATTGTTTTAGATTGTCAAGCATGCTAAGCCTCATTTATTGTCCACCATCATCCAGCCTGACCTTTGTGTAATCTTCCATTTGAGAAGGGTGAGATTTCCAACATCACCAGAACAGCGGCTGCTGGGCAGGATTCCCTTGGAGGAGGCTTTCATTTAGTGTATGTGGATTGCTAAAGAATCTTTCTCAAAAGTTTGGTCTGGTATTTGAAAAATAACTTGGATGAATGCCAAACAAGTAATGCTGTTTTATAAACAAGTCTATTAAAAAAAGGCGTTATGCATTATATGGGCCCCTTTATAACGGAAATAATAGTTTCTGATTTTTTTTTGAACTGTCAAGCTTAAGTGCTTCATCCATTTGTATCAAAATATCAAGCTGACTCCATGATTCATTCTTAATGACTTGGAAACGTGTGAAAAAAAATGATACTGGATTTTTTTTTTGCTTAGTAGGGTCATATAGATGTAGTGACATTTTGGTTAATATCATAATTCTTAGCACTTATATAACGTTTATTTGCAAAGCACTGTATAAATGTTTATTATTTAATCCTCACCCATTATGAAGTAGATAAGAATTATTATCCCCATTTTTGTAGAAATTAAGGAATATGAATCGAGGGCCAGGCTCCATCACCCATTGTCAGCTCTGAGTATTATTACTTCTGTTTTTGTAATGTAGTAGCGTCCCCCAGGTCATAATCTGACATGAACTTTGTGGTGCTAAATGCCTTTCAAAAATGTAAGTAGCAGAGGCCCTGCTCCAAAAAATTTAAACTCTGTACCTGACTTCAGCAAAAAGTCTTAAAGGGAATATTGAAAGTGATTCAGAGTGGCAGAATGTGTCTGGGAGTTATTTCCACAGAACACAGAGTTACTGCCCAATCCTCTGATCCCGTACGTCAGTGGGAATTTGGTTTATGACTCAGTGGGGCCGAGTTACATCAGTGTTAAGGCTAGAAACAAAAATCTGAGTTCCCAACAGCATGCATAAATTGCTAGAAAACCCTGATTTCCAACTTCCCCCTACTACAAATTTTTCACACAGACCAAGTGTGCTGATGTCAATTCTTTGCATGCTTTATCTGCTATATCTTTTAGTCCTATGTTTGCCTATAAAATAATAATAAGACATGATTTTAAATTGACATAACAT